CGCGCGCGGACCGCGTGGCGGGCCACGGCGGTGGCGGCAGCGGCGGAGGGCCCGGTGTCTGGCAGTGCCGGCTGAGCGCGCCGTCAGGATGGACGTCGATTCGGACTTGGAGCTGCTCATGGGCCACCTGGGTGAGTGCTCACGCGGCGCTCTACTGCAAGTGTTTGTTTGTTTGTGTGTGTGTACCTGAAGAGAGAGAGGCGAAGTGCGGTGGATTGTATTCCAGCAATGTGTGATGACCAACGAAGGCATTTGCATAGTGTCCGTTTTTTTTTTAGGGAGTTTCCTTTAGTTCCATTCTGTCAGTTGTTCCACGACTTACTACTAATTAAATATATCCATGACATATATTTTATACATTGTGGTTATTATCCATATTCAACCATAGAAAATCATCGTGGCAAGGACATCTCATTGCTGCGAGAGATTGTTTCGCTGGAGAGCGAAGGAAGAAGGGATTGTTTCCTCACTATAATTTTTGGTGGCGCTATAGTAGAGTACTTCGGACCAGGCACCTTACGGAATATGCGTCTATCACGCTCTGTCGTGTGTTGAATATGATGCACTCATTTCTGATCATTTGTATCTTCAATTGAAATCATTGTAATTATTTCCAAACGTTCACATGTTGCAGGTGAAAATATATTGTCAATAATAATAATAATAATAATAATAATAATAATAATAATAATAATAATAATAATAATAATAAAGTGTGTTTATGTTCACATTTGCGCTCATTGTAGAGCTGAGCAAAAAGCGATGATTTTTTTGTAGGTGATGGTCTTTATCGCCCCTTCGCCCACTAGGAACACGCTCTCTATGATTCTCTCTCTTCTAGGATCCCTCTGTTTAGAATCCGCTTCTATTATATGTGCAATGATCTCTAATTTTTTTCAATCAAACACTGGTGCTCTGTATACTCTGTATGTACAACTTTAATTTTTTCAAGGCAAACGAGACTAAATTGAAGGAAAATGTTTTTGTGTTGAGGACGATCCGACTGTATGAGTCGACGCGGCAGTGGGTGTTTGTGGTTTGGCCCTTTGGCTCGTTGGAGAGTTTTGGCAAGGAGTGGTGATTTTTTCAGATTGAGCGGTGAAATAGACCTCAACTAGGGCTTGATCTCACGGCTATTTATTTCTTTCAGATGTCTCATAATGATTTCCTTTACTGTTTTCTTTCTCGTGTTTCGTTTGTTAACGTTCGGATTATTCTCATGTGAGAGAAAAGCTAATACTGTCAATACCAGAAAAAATAATTTGGAGCTCCCGATGAGTCACTTGAATCAGTATTTACGCGACACTCCATGTGGCCTAGATGCAGGAGGCAAGAGTTGCAGTGTTTTTGTGCTCGTACTGGAGAGAGTAGCAAAGATTTTTTTTTATTTGGATGCTGTTAAATGTAGTCGTCAGACTCCCCAGCGCCATCTGGTATTTCAAGTGTCTACGAGGTGTTTACAAGTATTGTTGGACAGAATGACAGGTAGCTGGGATGTTATTATCGATGTGATATGTCGTCAGCGACGATGTAGGCACCACCTACCTAGGAGTCGAGAATATTAAATCCCGCGAACAACGAAGACTTTTAGATTATAAAAACCAGCGGTACCGATTAGTCACAACTCCACTTGGGTAAAAAGCCTTGCGGCGCTTTAGTGAGCGTTTGTGTTTATGGTCGCTGAGATCGTAGCAAGGAGCGTTGTTTTTTCTAAATGCGTCGTGTGGTGAGTGACAAAATTCACCCCGCCTAGGACTAGCCTCTCCTGAATTGCTACTCTATCACATTCTGTTATTGACATGTAATGCGTATCTTTCAGTTTCTTCTGTCGAAAAAGTTATTAGTTCCTTATACGTTACCATGGAGTTTCAGTATTTGCGTAAATGCAGAGGATAGTTAGAGCTTTTCATAAGTGAACGCAGGAGATCGCGCTCGGCGCAAGGCTGTGTCAAAAAACGCATCTGTTCCATTGTGAGTTTGGCATACTACGTTTTAAGTTGAAAGAGGTAAGGTGTGACATAGGGCAATAGACCTCCCGGACAGAATCCATGCAGAGTCAGCAACAATGCTGGTTCTGAGCTAAACTCAAGTGGTGAATAAATAAGAATTATATTTTCGTTGAATGGGAGAACTCATACGTCATCTTCGCTACAAGTCATTCGTTCTGATTGCTCTTTACGGACGACTGACGTAAATTTCTGAACGACCGCTTGTTTTATTGATTGGTGATTCTGGTCACTTCAACGTTTAAGGTCATTAGTCCTGTAAGTGTAGTGCATGTTTTTCGTGGAAGTTGGCGATAATCTTCCTCCGCTGGATGGCGAGATCTGACGTTGACCTACACTCGGCGTGCGGGGATTTTCTACAACCAGGTATCTCCCACCAGGGGGTTACCGCCTCAGCCGGGACAAGCTGTAAGCTCCCGACTGGTCTCCCGGCATGTATGGTAGTGTAGTGCATGTTAGTGTAAGTAAGGAGTGAGGATAAGAGAAAAGAAGAAGAAGAAGAAGAAATCTCGCGCGGTCCGTGACCTGTTTGTTAGGGTACTGCTTCGGCATAAGCTTGGTGTTGATCGTAGAAAATTACGGAAATCTTCAAACCGTAGTACAGAGCAGCCGGGCGCTAAAATTCTCCTCCACGCAGCAACTGACTCCTCCTAGCTTAAAAGCCAGTTTCGGGACTCGAACCAGTGAGGGTAATGATAGGACGAGCTGAATATCTAAGATGTAGCTGCCGATGATGCCGCCATATACAATATAGCCGCCGCCGATGCGTCTTGAGAAGTGAGATAGGGGTGGGGGCCTTGGACGCGTCCCGCGTTGGTTCCACTTCGACAAAAGTTCCATTTTGTGCATTTTTATATATGGCAATTATCCGTGACTAATGTCAAGTGGCATTACCCTGCCAGCTTCACGGAATTACAAAAATGTCGGTAAATTGTTTCCTACAGTCAATTGTATTCACCTTTTTACAGCATAACGAGATATGAATACATTGAAGAATCGTATTCAAATATTCAAAAGTTCTTGACAAAACTGTTTTGTGAATAATTAGAAACACTGCTTATAATATCATCGATGTATTAAACACGTCGTCTCCTGTGAATGGGCCAGACTGCGACAACGGAATTTGGTAATTTTATCTGGGCGATGGGTTAAGAGAAAAACGCCGACCATGTCTGCCCTGAGCCAGCCCTATCCCGTGTCTCATTGTTCCGTGATTATTCCGTGATTCATTCTCGCGTTTGCGGTCCAAAACAAAAATGTTTTTCAGTTCCATATACTCTTTTGTCAATAACAGAAACCTGAACTGATGCTGGTCGTTGGCCAGCTGAGATTTGTCTGAGTCGACGAAATGCCCGCTCGCATTGCTGCGCGAATCGCAGCAGGTATATGTGCGATTGGGAGGAAAGCATTTCAGTAGCGGTGCTTTTCTCAAGGAGATAACGAGGAAGTAGTAATCGCCTAGTGCCTAAACCCTATTTTACACGGTTAATTTTTCATTCTTTTTTCATCATTTTTTTCTGTTCCGAAAGTGGATGGATAAAGGACGTTCGTTTATACTCGTTATGTATTGGTGTCGAAACTGGATGAGTTTCCAGCGTTTTACACGGTCATTTCTGTCTTTGTACTTAATCGTGAAGAAAATACTGCCTCCGGATAAACCGCTGAAGATCAAACATTTGAAGATTGCATCTATGGTAACAAATTAAATTAGATTAGATTACGATTGAGCACGGATGTGACGACATTAGAATACAGTAGATACTTAATTTCTCACTATATAATCACTTTACATTACAATTTAACACAGCAGAACGCTATTGGAACTACAAAATGAACAAATCGCTCCACACGCATAACAAACCAGAGAAACTTCCGAAAACTGCTGCCCGGAACGCGGTGGTCAATCTGGATGAAATCTGTATTGAAAAATGAAGCATATATTTTTTCGTACAAATTACATTCAGACTGATCTGTCTCTTTTCTGTACCGCCGAAAAATGACGAAAAAATGATCGTGTAAAACAGGCTCAATCCGCGCCGTCACAATCACGCCTCGTCGTTCTATCACATCTCACCGTTTGTTTTTTATCAAAAACATTTTCAGGTTTTCCAATAACACTGTGTGGTATTTCGAATGAGGTTATATTTATTGTTAATTGTTTCTAATGTTTCGATCGAAAGAATAATTGCATTCAATTGTAAATATTTTTATTTCATTTTTTGAAGTAAAAGAAATATTTCATATATCTGTTTAATCATTGTAAACAAACGTGTACTACAAATAAAATTTGTAAATTAATGTCAACCAATGCAAATTACAGTGGTCGCTCATGACGAGAGTAATTTTAACTTGATCTCAAATAAATTTTAAACGTAGTTACTGATTTCAATTGTTTACTCGTAAAAAGCATACTATCAATAAAAATACTTTGATAATAAAGAATAAGATATTTTGATTTTGAAGCAATTAACTTAAATGTCATCCTTACAAATTTGTCTATATTAACTTTAATTGGACATACAACTACTAACTTATATCGAGATTTGCAAGTAAAAAATTATATTGAATGGTTGACTTTCTTTAAATTTAATTTAGTTTTCTATCAATGAAAATCTGTACGGTTTTCCAAACCTTATCAACCCGCAGCACACTAATATAAAGTTTTAACTTAATATTTCGCGGACCACCCATGAGTTATATAAGTAATACACCTAAGTAAATAACCTAAGACATAAGTAACATTTAGAAATTGCGATTTGTCGTAGTTATAATTTAGATCAAGCAGTACGTTACAACGCAATATAAGCATAATTATATTTCTATTTTTTTATTTATGCATATTGAGAAAATATGACAATTGTTTGAAACTTCAAGTAGGCTAATGACTTTGTTTTCATTTCCTTGCCTCACGATGCGGTTCTATTGCGTCACACCGATTGAAAAGCACTTGAGCTTTGGAAACCACCAAACCGTGTGCTGGTGGAAATAAATCACGTTTCCCACTACTACGTTGCATTATTACCATTCTTTGAGAGTATCATTTAATTCGGGTGACCTCCAAAGAACAGTTCTGATAAGACAACCTGTAAATAAAGTGTTGTTATAGGGAATCAATGCAGTTGAAG